AGCTTCTATTTTTTTTATAATATTTTAAAAGCAGAATTGTACTTTATATAAAATCTCAATTAAATATTCAATAAAGATAAAAGCATGGCCTTATGATTTATATTAAAAAAAAATAAATAATCATTTTCCCTATAATCTTATTTGCTTATAATCACAAACTTTTAAAATCAACTTATATATTGCATATAAAATTTAACTTTGATATAAGCACAAATTTTTAAAATCAAAAAAAATTGATTATAAAAAAAAAACAAAAAAATTTTCAATTAAATAACTGAATTTTTGAAATTTATATAATACAAAATAAAAAATTTTATTTTAATATATTTATTTTTTTAAACTATTATATATAATGCCTTAAAATAAACATAATTTTTAATATTATAAGATCAAAATATTATTATATTTTATGCTTTGAATATATTCATAAAAGTTAACAAGTTAAATCATTTTTATGCTTGTTAACTAAAATAGTAAAAAGCATAAACTGATTTTATTTATAAAACAAATAATCAAGATTTTTCTTGATTTGTTTATTTTTTACTTAAATTTAACAAAATAATAGTTTACTTAATTTGTTTGTTCTTAACTTAGTATTCAATAGAATAACTATCAAGATTAAATAAACATTTTTTTATATTCAAATTACTAATTAATTATTATTATATTTTTTATATGAGATTACTAAAATGCACTACTGGTGTTCAACACCAGTTCTGATCTGATTATATAGTACAACATATGTAATTATAATCAATACTAACATTATAAACTAGAATAAAAAGAATGGTTCTCTTATAATCGCAACACTTTCATTTTGCTACTGCACAATGCAAGTTGCCAAAATTGTTTAATTCTTTAAACTTATGCTGTCATTGTTCAATATATTAGAATCATAATTCATATTGTTATATAAGCATTTTTTCTTTTTGGTGAATTTGTTTCATATGAAACTTTATTTTACTTAAAGGTTTTTATTATGTTAAGTTTATCGATTTACTGCACTGCATTTATCAACAAAGAACTTGTTATTCAACAGAAGTTCGTTTTGCTTTCTATTGTGCCACTTTTTTTTTTTACTGTGCCATATCTCATCCAGTTTCTTGAATTGTTATTCTGAAAGGTTTGTCCATTTCTTAGCTTTGAATATAAATTATATCACTGTTGCATGATATATAGGAATATATTATTCATTTCCTTAGCTAACATATTTTTTTTTTATTTGCAAATCTAGAATTCTAATTTACACATCTAAGCTCTTATTGCATGCAAAAGTTCATTCACCTCTTTGCTATTTGTTTTCTATTTCATGATATATTGAAATCAATTATTCATAAATTTTTATTAATTAGAAATGATTTTTTTTTTCGAATTGAATTTATCATGAGAAACCTGATTTACCTACAAGTTTACTTATATAAAAGTTTTTATTCCTTATTTTAAACTTATTATTCTCTTCATTCTTCTTATCACTACAAAAAAAAGTGCTTAATCATTCATGTATATATGTATATTCATTAGTTTCATATAATCTTTTTTTCTATAAATTGAATTTATTAAATTTGACTCCTTACTGTGCCCAGATTAAAGAAAACATAGATTATGGATACTTTACTGATTTTAGATGTTGACAAAAAATTTTTTAAGCCTAACAATACTGAATTTAACAACCTACAAAATCATACTAACATAATAGGTCATCAACATTTACTATTCAACAACTTTTCCTATTTGAAAAACAATAACAATTCTTACTATGCCCAGGTTAAAGGATACATAAATACCTTACCAATTTTAGACATTGATGAAAAGTTTGTTGAGCTTAACAATACTGTATTTGACAACCTGAAAAATCACATTAACATAATGGATTATCAGTATTCACCATCCAATAACTTTCTTTATTTGAAAAATAATGAAAATTCTTACTGTGCTCAGATTAAAGAATACATACAGGCCATGGATACCTTACCAATTTTGATCTCAACAATACTGAATTTAATAACTTGCAGGATCATGCTAACATAATAAATTAACAATAGTCACCATCTAACAACCTTTTCTATTTGAAAAATATAGAAAAAGATCTGAAAACAACTAAAAATATAAAAGTCCAGAAAAATAATAATAGAATATATACATATCCTATTGCTTTGAAGATGGACTTTATGAATTGGAAAGACCTAGATAGGTAAGCAATAAATTAGTATACCTCTTTTGTTTTTTTTTTGAACTCAAACAGTTGGCATGCTTTGTTTATCCATTACCATATATATGTACACAAATTGTAACTATTACTTTATATATATAGGAAAATGTTATAACAATAATAGTATTATTACTGTATATGGGATTTTGAATGTATACTCATTAAAAAATTATTTATTCTATTACATAGGTGGCTTGATTACTATAGAGTAGAGCATGGTTTCACATTTACAGTAACTTATAGTGAAAAAGATAAGGAAGATAGGATTCCTTGACGTTATACCTATAGGTGTATGAAAGGAAGAACATATACTGCACAAAAAGAAGCATATACTACTAAGGATCATAATCAAGGTTATAATAACAGTGACTGTCGGTTTCATGTTAATGCATATTAGCGTAAAAAGGACAACAAGATATACATAACAAAAATTGATGACCAGCATAATTATGCCCTTATTAACAATATTGAAATGGTTGCAACTCACTATCGAAGACTTATTTCTGAGATGCATAATGATATAAAGCTTTTTGCTTCTTGTGAAGTACATGCTAGAGCAATTATTAAAGTGTTGCAAAAGAAAAACTCAAAAAAATACATTCATATATGCAATGTATATAATGCAATTCAGATGAATCAAATTCAAAAAAAGACAATAAGTGATGCTGAGTTAATGTATCTTGAGCTCATAAAGCATCAGCAAGCTAATCCTACTTTTTATGTTGATGTGCATTTTGAAGGCCACAATAATTATTTTACGAAACTTTTCTGGATAAGCCTGAACCAACAACAGTTGTGAGCTAGGTTCCATGATGTTGGTTTGCTTAACACCATTGCAAAAACCAACCATCATTCTATGATACTCTGTGTTATAATTTTAATAGATAATCATAATATTCTTGTCTTGCAGCGATTGCTATCGTTTCAGATGAAACAAAAGATACATTTATTTGGCTATTTGGGAATATAGTGAAGGCAGCTGGTAGTTTAGCACTATGTTTGCTTTACACAGATGCAGATTCTGTGATGTTTGCTGTGATAAATGCTTGTTGGCTAGCTACAAAACATCATTTTTGTTTGTTCTATATCTGCAAAAATTTAGAGAAGCACCTTTTGGATAAATATTATGATAACTGTGAAAATTTTTTTGCAGACTTTTGTTAAGCATGTAATAGTCATATAAAAATAATCTTTGAGAAAAGGTGAAATGAATTGTTACATAAATATCCTGATGCCTCTAGCTATCTACAATGTTAGCTTTATAAATATAGGAAGGCTTGGGCATTATGCTTTATATACTGAGCATTTAATGCCAGTATGCAAAGCACATAGCATGTAGAATTTTACAATAGAATAATCAAATTTCAAGTAACTGGATCTTCAACTCTTTTGGAATTGGAGAATAATATCAAAAAACTGTTAGAAAAGGAGAGTCACTTTATGCATCTTAATAAGAGTATTGGTCAGCTCTCTGTAAATTAGATGAAAGTTACTATAACAGATATTTTAATAAGATTAATATATCGTGGCAAAAGTTCTTGACTTTTACAATTTTAAAACTTCAAAAGAATAAAATTAATCATAGTATCCACTATCAGTGTTTTGTTGCCAACTTAAAAAATAAGCTTGAAAATTGTATAAGTGTTTTTTATTATCAGTTAATATATTAATAATAGTAGGTCTAAATTTACATACTTATATATTTTATAAGGCTTGTACTAAATTTCCAACTGAAATGTTCTCAGAGGATCTATTTGATGTGAACATTATTAAATTGGAACAACTTATAACTGGTCTTGAGTAGACAAAGATTATCGAAGTTTGGCATGTCACCTCATTAGACAAAAAAGTATATATTTCATTATACTTTATAATAATACTGCATATTTTTGTACTTGCTTAACTTTGATAAATCATGGTCTTGTATATCGACACTTTTTTTTCAATAATGCTTGTCTTAAAAGTTGCAAAATTTCACATTGGACTTATAATGCAGTGTTGGTATCTAAATAGATTAGTTGAAAGTGTTATAACATTTGAAAGTGAGCCAGTAATTTTACTAATGTTAAATGAGAAATTTAATGAACTTGGGCATACTATTCATATTGACTTTTTACACTTAGAGAATATCTGTAGAAACTATATTTTTACAAAACATCTTTCTCATGAGATGATGCACAGAGAACAGTGAATAAAAGAATTTGGTATTTTAAAGAAAGCTCTAAATTTGGCAATTATGACAAACAGAACTGAAGAGCTTTATGAAATTTATGCAAAACTCATCAAAGAAATGGAAAATAAAATTAAAAGTCAAAACAGTCAAGTTATAACAGAAAATAATAAACTTCAGGAGTTTACATGTACTATAAATAATCCAATTAGCATTAAAACTAAAGGTAGATCAAATAAGCGAATTAAAGCTTTTAATAATGTTATGAATATATTAAATGACAAGAATACAAAAGCGAAAACATCCAGGATTATTTCAGATTCAAGTAACAATATAAAGCTTTATTTAGTATTTATTATTTTTTTCTTTTACTTATACATTATTCAATCATTCAGTTTGGTAGAAAATAATATATTAGATACAGAATCTATAAGTAATATGGAAGAGACTCCTGTGAACAAGAAAAAATATGGAATTTGCAATTTGAAAGGCCATAATGCATGAACTTGTTCTAATCTTGCAGAATCTAATATCGTTGAGTTAAAGTCTACTAATATTAATAAAGAAACTAGCACAAATAAGCAAAAATGCAGGATATGCAGTTTGGAGAGCCATAATGTATAAACATGTCCTAATTTTATGAAATATAGTAGTTTTGAATGACAAAATCTGTTAGTGATACAGAAGAAAATACGAACAAATGAAAATGTGGTATTTGTGGTTTGGAAAGCCATAATGCACAAACTTGTCAGAATTAAATAGATAAAATAAGTATTATATGCATATGTAGTAGACACTATTATAGTATAACTTGTATATAATTGATCAGAGTTAGCTACTATAAAAAATCTGAGTTTATAATTTAGCTAGTACCCTGAGGTAGATCCTAACTTACATTTGTGCATTTTTTTGCCTTGCACATAAACAAAATTTATGCATTTTGAATAAAATTTCATTTTCACTTACTGTTATGCATATATAAAGTAAAAATTGTATTGTGATATGATTTTGTTAATCAAATTGGCTATTCATAAAATTTATGTGACAGAATTTATGCACTCTAACAATTTTTAAATTAGGGTTGGAAACTAGTGCTATGTATAGTAAAATTGCTCAAGAAATTTTTTAATTAGTATAAAAGGTAGTTTTCTATATGAATTGTTAAGAAACAGGCAATTTTTGAAAAAATGAACATTTGTTTTAATTGTGTTATGTTATTGCCTAATTTCAAAAATGATCATGTGTAAAGTTAATACTTTAATTTGAATATATATATATCTGGATTAGGGTGTTCAAGATTATGCAAAAGCATAATATATGCATAATTTACCAAATTTTCACATCGCATATGCTTCGTATAATTAAAGAAAAAGGCATAAAATGCATGTAAGTAAGATATGATTGAAACTTTCAAAACTTCTGATGCAAAAAGTCTGAAATATTCTGAAGATTTTGCATAATTGACAAAATCTAAATAAGAAATTACATAATTTGCATCCATTGCATAATTTAACCTTAATCATATGCATAATTTACTCTATTATATCACATAATCCTGAACACTCTAATCTGAATTGATATTTTGTCAAAAAATTATAGTAAAACATAATAAATTAAATCTGGATTTATTTTATATCTGTACATATCTGAATATAAAAATATAGTGAAGTATTAACTCTAATCATATAAATATGAAAGTTTTAGTTTTATTTTTTATAAAATTAATTAAAACTAGTTTTAAATATTTAAACTCTAAGTTACTTATTATAGTAGTACAATAGTAGTACAACTATACTAAATTATATAATTATGTGATATTTTGGAACTGGTATTAAACACCAGTGGTGCGTTTTAGTAATCTCATTCTTATATATTAATAATTAATAATTATATTATAATTATATTCAAATTATTAAAACAAAGCTAAATTATAGGTTTTTAAACATATAATTATTTTGGACTCTTATTTGTAATAATTTCAAATATCAAGTTTCTATTTATAATTATTTTTATTTTGAGCTTTTATTTGTAATTATTTTTATTTTTAAACTCTTATCTATAAATTTTTCAAATTTTTTTATAAATTAAGTTTTATTTTTATTAATTAATATTTTAACTTATTTTTTAAATTAAATTAAATTTAAATATTTGAATAAAATTTTTAAATTAAATCAAATTTAAATTGGTCCAATATTTGATTTGATTTAAATTTGAAAAACTTTATAGCTAGAGTTGTGTTACAAAAATTACAATATTACATTTTATATAATTTTATATAAGTTTCAGTAATTCAAATTTTATGTAAATTTCATATGTAATATCATATGCCAGTATACAAATTCTTTATTAAAATAGATTTTCTTAATTGCTGAAAGATTCTTATGTTCTAATAGATATAAACAAGTTTTTTAGTCTTTTGAGTAAAAATTTGATTATATAATTTTGAATATATAAATTTATAAAATGATCAATTTCTTTTACTAGCTGCTAAAGTAGCTAGAATTAACAAGATTTTTTGTATAATTTGATTTAAAATAGGATATTGCATGCTTAATAAATTCTATCAATTAAGTGGTTTTAAAATAAGATTATTTTACAAATATTTTTTAGCAAAACTCTCTAATTTTCTAATATATTCAAACAATTTATTTAATACTTGATCTTTGTTTTTAGCACCTATAATTAGTAATTTAAATAATTAGTTAAAGAAATAATCAGTTGACAACTAGTATAATTATTAATACATATACTAACATTGATCATAATTATATTTCTAGAAAAAAAAAACTAATTAATTGACCAATTTGGAATATTATTAGCAATTCAAAGTATTTCTATATTAACTATATTTCTCTATATATTAAAATCAAGACCTTTATTATAATTTTTGGATCAAGAATATATGTTACAATAACTGCTAAATTATATAAAAAATTAACATATCTATATTAAGTCACTTGTAAAATATTATCATGCAGTTTTTTGGAAATTTCTAAGTTATTTATAACTATTTTTTAAATTTTGCAAAGTTTTATAAGCTGAAGAAGGATATAATTTGTTACTTTTTAATTTATATATAAAGATAATAAATGGTTCTAAAAAATTATATAATTTTTTAAAATCTATTCAAAATTTATAATCCAAAATTGTTTTCTTTAATGCTATTATTTATTTCAATATCATCTTTAATTAATATAGCATATATTGCAGAATGAACTTGCAAAATATGACCAAGATATTCAAAAAATAAAATCTATCTTGTATTGATAATTAAAATAAGTATAATTTCAAGATTATATATTTCTTTTTGTAAATAATAAAAAATAACTAATAGAATTAAAAGGGATATGATGATCTAGTAAAGAAGTCAGGTTGTCAACTCCCAAATAGCAGATCCAGAGTTCAAATTCCAGTGTTGACAAAAAATTTGAAAATTCTTTCTGTATTATAGTTAACTGTTTCTTACATTTGTATAATAGTTATATGATATTGTCTTTTAGGACAAGGTCTGTAATTATATAAAAAAATGCAAATTAGTATAAGTAGTGCAAACCTATAATAAGTCTTCATGACCATGTAAATCATAAGAACCAAATAAAGAAAGATAGAAGCCTACTTAAAAGACCTATATAGAAAGGTAATCTGAACTTTTAATGATGCTACTGTAAAAACTAGACCTATAAAAAAGAGCTAAAATTTGTGAAACTAGACAAATATGCTGGTATTTGAGAAAGAATTGAATGAACTAATCAGGCTATCAGAATTTCTAGATTTCAGAAAAAAAAGTATATGTTGACAAACATGTAAACTATAAGTGTAGTTATAGCCTATCTTTCTGAGTTATTTGAAATAACAACTTTGTAGAACTTGAATTAAATATCAAATTAGTAGAGATATATTATGAAGTCAGTACTAAGGTTGGGGTAAACTTTATAAGAACTTAGTAATTTAATAGTATATTTTAATTACCAGTGTTGGTCTCAACTATAGTGATACTAAGTCAGCTATAAGAATATAATACAGAAAATTCTAATAAGTTTAGTATAAGATCAAAACTTCCAAAAAACTGCTTTAAAGACTTAGTGACTATAGTATATTTTTATCAATATTGATTAGGGTTGTTGATAGGCAGAGATAGATAGATGGATATAAAAACTAGAGTGGTTAAATAAAGAACTTATAAGTAGGTTCTAGGTATAGCAACTAGTGTAAAACCTTCAAGCAAACTACTTAAATTAAACAATAATTAAAGTTGTATAAGTGATTAGTTGTACACTCTTTCTATAATTGCTTTCTGTAATTGTAATGCAACCATTAGCCAAATATATTATTAATAAAATCCTGAGTCACAAGTACTCATCTTAATATTTAAAAAAAAAAAAAACTAATAGAATTAAATGATTATGAAAAAATAAAACTAGATCTTTAGTTTTTTTAAAAACTTATACACTTATTTATTTTTAAGACTATCTTTAATCTAAAGATTAATTCTGTATACCTAACATCTAAGGAAAACTTTATTGAGATATTTGATTCTTAAAATATTCTATATAACTTTCATATTATTAATGTTGTCTATAATATTACTAACAAATTTATTAATTCCAATTTTTTTCATTATGTTTTCAATTTCTTTAACAATATTTTCAACTATATTATATTCTTTATTAGTATGAATTGATTTATAAAAAATAGAAACAGATGTAGTAATCATATAATTAATTACAGATAATTTATTAATATTTGACTAACCATCACTAAGCAATAATATGATGATTTATCAAAAATATTTTAAATGACTACTTGTAGATCAATATATTTTTTGTTAAGAAGTGAACTAAAAAGAATATTACATAATGAAACCTTAAAAGAAGAAGAAATTTTTTTTTAAAAAAAACATAAAAATCATTATTTTTAATTACATTAAATAGAATTTCAGATATAAAAAGAACATGGGCAAATAATAATTCTAATTTAAGTTGATCTGATTGAGCAAAATTATTCAAAGCAGATTGTTTTTGCTTCTTATTAGTATCAGATAATTCAGATAATTCGTTTGATGTTAAATTTCTTACCACAAACTTTTAAATATACGTGCAATTGTGTTACATTTTTTGCCTATTTTTTATTACATGCTTTATACTGATAACGTTCTTTTCCTTTTTTTATCAATTCGCTTAACATATTGGCTCAACATTTCAATTGTTTTATTTTGAATCATTAATAATTTATTATAAAATAATATCTTTTACACTTTTATAAATGACTTTTAATAAATTAAATGAAAGGCTATTATATAACTTTGTATTTAATATCTGACGTGACAAATATTTTTAGAATACTATTTATATTCTATGTAATGTTTAATATGTGCAATTTTTAATTTTATGACATAAAAAAATCGTCTCATAAAATACTGAACACAACGACTGGAGTTATGTTAAGAATTACATACTTTTAAAATTACAAATTACATGAAAATTAGTTTACCAAAAAATTACGCAAAATTACAAAAATTACGTAAAATTACGGTAATTTGACAACCTACCTACAGCCCATGAACCTGGTACACATTTTCTAGGTGCAATTCTGGCCGGAAATTACGTAATAATATGTAATGCGGGCCAAAATTTGTAGATCACAGCATTAGCCAATCAAAATTGAGAATTTCCGTGACGCATTCACCAGCCAATCATATTTATGAAAGCATCTGATATTATGGCCAATTAAAGAAAACTTTTGCTATGCTCAAGCAATGACGACGACTTTCCAAGACAATATTCCAGGTTTGTTTATAAGCAATGTAGATATGTTCATGTTATTTTCGAACTGAAAACTGAAATTTTTCTTTACACTAGATCAAATATCTACCAGTAATGTTGTTTCAGAACAAGAAATCGTTGAAGCAAATCCGAAATTCACACCGGAAGAAATTGAAAAATTAGTTGAATTAGCTAATTCTTATAAAATAACAGGAAATGAATATTTTGCTAAGATGAAATACGAAGAAGCTGTTATACAGTATGAAAAGGCTTTGGATACCTGTCCGGATGAAAAGAAGGACGAACGAGCTATTTATTGGGGAAATATTGGAGCATGTTATTTTAAATTGGTAAGGTAAATGGTAGGATTTGGCGAGAGACGAAGAATAGGAAGTTACAAATTTCTTTCAAGATTTAACGGATAAATTGTTTTTTTTTTTATTTACGTTCATCGTAATTAGGAAAAGTATAAAGATGCTGTAAATTCATGTACAAAAGGTTAGGACTATTACTGTTATTATTTAAGAAAGAATTCGGATTATCTATAAATTTAACTCTAAATTTATTATATATATAATACTAGCGCTTGAAAATTCTCAAACATATACGAAGGCTTTATTACGTAGAGCCCAATCTAATGAGAAACTTAATACCTTTTCATCATTAACATCCGCATTTGAAGGTTTATAGTTTTATATTTTTTGTATTGTATTATTTCAATCCATCGCTATCACATCTTCACTATTTCATTCTTTTTTTACACATGGAATTACAGATTACAAAACACTACAATCAACATCTTCTCATTTCTCAACCTTAAACTCACAAACCCGTAAACAAGTGAACATTTCAATTCAACGTTTACCTCCTCAAATTTCTATATTACAAGAAAAAGAAAAAAGTGAAATGATTGATAAATTAAAGGATATAGGGGACAAGTTTCTAGGCAATTTTGGATTATCAACTAAGAATTTTAAAATGATGCAAGATCCAAATAGTGGTGGTTATAACATTCAGTTTGTTAATAGTGCTGAGAAAAGTAATGATCAAAGTAATGAAGGAAATAATGGGTCAGGGTCGTGATAAAGGTTGCATATAGAGGAAAATATTTGGTTGATGAATTTTCACGATCTTGTTTAAGCGCATCTTGCTTTACGTCATATAGTAGTTCTAAATGAAAACTTTGCACTTTCATTGTCTTTCGCTTTCAAAATAGCAACAAGGAAATAACATCTTTCAAAATATATTTATTCGAAGAGATGACAAAAACACATACCATCGCTTATATTTATACTTTCTATAAACTCTAATTGAGAAAAACTTCAAAATACATATTAAGATTATTTTGTTAATTATTTTATTTTGTTAGAACACAACAAATAGGCACATAAGTTAAAAGACGGAGTGTCTTCTTAGATTTCATGACATATGTATGTACATTAGGTTCAAATTTTTGATCCTTTATTTCGAAATAACACGCATTGGTGACTTATAATAATGCGTAGATGGATAAATTGATGCGCAGGAATAGTTATCTCTCGACTGTGCGGTGAATAAAAATCATCCATTTACAAATTTAAATGTTTATTAATATATAATTTTAATTTACACACATATATATATACCAGAGATCCTTCGGTCGACCAATGATTTGACCAGTCTTATCATATTTTAATTTTTTTAGGGAAATTCTGGGTCAAAAAGACCCTTAGCAATAAGGGTTGGGGCACAAATAAAAAATTTGGTATGCCCATCATGCTTATAGGCATGCCCATTTAAGATCATGTGTCCAAAACCTATCACTAGCCAATCACAGTATAGCATGCATCAACTTTGATTAGTCAATCATTAAATGTATAATTACATATACACTGCATATAACAGCTGACTTCGACCAAATTGTTAATATTGTTTTTTTAAAAAAAATATTAATGGTAAGGCCATGCCTTTAACTTTATTGAATTGTTAATATATATATATATATTTTTTTTTTTTTTTTTTTTAAGGGCAGTCTTACTTGTGTGTTTTTTTTATTAGTAGTAGTATAAGATTACATATTATATACAGGGTATATCAATGAAAGTACAACTAGTCACATGTATAACTTTAGTTATTATCTAATTAAAGGTTCTGCTCATAGGTTACTTACTAGATGTCATATCTGAGTCCCATCTGTGAGTCACCTATTTTAAACTTTCTGATTTTCAATACTTAACTGCATATATATATAATGTATATCACTATGATTATGACAAAACAGATTAGGACTATCTAATTACTATTTATATCTAAGTATTACCTTATTGAATGTTACTAAGTATTCATAGTTTTTTGAATTTACCTTTGATGTAAACTTACTAAGTATGATATCAAGATTACCTTTTAGATTTATCTAATTTTAGTATATCCTATATCTATTAGAACCAGTTTGGTGTCAAAAGTATTCGAATTTCGATAAGTTTATTCCTTTTTTATAGTTTTCTTTTATGTTTATTGTATCACTTACTAGTGAACCTTCTCTTCATTTCTGGTATGTTCACTGTTTCTCTTATATCGAACATCAACTCTCCATATCAAGAATCTTTTTTCTAGAAATTTCTTTATATACTGATCTTTTAATCATATAAACTTAGTTACAGAGTTTCATGTATATTTATATGCTTTCGTAGATTACAGAGTTGTCTTTAGCTGGAATTGAACTATCAACTTTGTCTGTAGAAGGAGAGGTGTCTAGACTATTAGGTTATGGGATTCCATCTCTATTGAATTGTTATATTGTTTAGGTTGTTCAAAGTTAATTATTAGATTAATATTAATATTTTAAACTTAGAGATGTAAAGAAGAAAAAATTTTAAACAAACATATAAATATTTAATCAAATTTATTAGCCAATCTTAATTATATAATTAATAAAACATATTCTGTATTGTAATTGATTTGTTTAATTTTTAGATTAACAGTTAACCAAGAAAAGAGAATAACATTAATCTAATAATTAACTTTGAATGATCTTACTAAAAAATAAATTGTTAAAAAATATAAAATATAAAAATTCAAAGATTATATTTTATATTTTATAATATAATCTAAGGTTAAATGATTTAGAAATTAACAATAAGATATATTTTGTCTTATAAATTAAAATAATTTAGTAATTAGTAAAATAAATCATATTTTAGTTAAAAAGTTTTAAGTTTTTTTTTAATATATAAAAGTTTTATAATATATTAAATATAAACATATATATAATATATATATTACATGTTTTGTTTTATAGTTAGTATAGTTTTTTATATTGGTTATACCCTTTTTAAGTATATTTAATATATTTAGTATTTTGCTATAAGTGTCTTTCAAGAAAAAGTGTATATTCTGTTGAATATAGAGTTAAAGAGTAGTAGTGGAAAATTAGCACATAGTGTAAGCAGATATAACAAAAGTGGAAAGAAGATAAGAAGTACTAAGATAGCATATTACAACATAAATAGAATAAAGCGTAACAAGATCAAACTAAGAACAATAGTTGAGTAAGCAAAAGAAGAAGAAGTTGATATTTTGGGATTAGTAGAAACAAATAGCAATAGTAAAAAACTGAAATATAGTTTAGAGGACAATTATTATAGAGGCATTTGATCACAAAGTAAAATTATAAAGAAGAAAAGATCAGGTGTTGGGTTATTGATAAGCCAAAAATGAGAGAAACATATAGGAGAAACTTGTATATTTGAGAAATACTTGATTAGAGCAAAGTTCTACTTTAAATAGATAGAATTAACAATAGTGGTAGTATATATCTCTTTAAGTAATAAAAAAAAAACAAGAAAGTTGCAACAAAGAATTATAAACATGTATATAGAGAGAGCAAGTAACTCACAGTTTATAGTAATAAGTGACTTTAATTATATATTAGATAGCAAATTAGATAAGTTGAGTAGTAGTGAAAATAATTATAATAGAACACTTTCACTATATAAATAAATAATAAGACAGAAATTTGGTGATATGTATAGAATTTGCAACCCAGAATTAAGAGATTACACTTGGGCAGAACATGATATACAAATAAGAATTGACCAAATATGAATTACAGAAGATCTATAATCAGGTTTAGAACAGACAGAAATAGTTGATGCAGAATATATAACATCAAGTAATTATAATATTGTTTGTGCAATGTTAATGTTCAAACACTTAATTCATACATATAGTGTAGCAGAAATGAAGAAAAAAGACATAACAAGAACAATTTATTTGTATAAGAAGGTGATGAAAGAAAATTGAAAAGACTACCAAGTAGATCTTAAAAATTATTTAACTAAGAACAGTAGACTTAAAGTATTT